TTAAAAAAAAAATAGTATTGCTGTTGCAGTGGCTAGGGTTTTAGTAGGTCATTTTAATCATAAAATTCTTTTGTTTGCAAAGGGTAGAAACAGTGTTACTCACTGTAGCTTAAGAAGAGACATTGTTTTTAAGAAGAGAAGGATATGTTGAAGAATAAAGACAGTTAATAATTATGTAATAGCCAGGTCTCATCGGAACTGGGACTTCAGACCAGAAAGGTGTCAGCTGTGAAGGTGACTCTCGGCAAGTCTTACTGTCAGCTGTTTCTGTGGATCTGCTTTGTTTCTTTGCAGAACTGCTTTATATTTCATCATTTGGGCCAGGACACTTTTAAGCCTAGCAGAAAGAATCTGAATGACTTCATTTGGTCAAATCTGACTCTCCAAATTACAGCTTGCTGTTTAGCCAGCAGAGTGGACCCTTGGGACAATGGCTTATCAGTCTGGGCTGGAAAAGGTCATAGGCTCCATAGGGGGGTATCATGTAAGAAATTAAGATAAAATGTTTGCACTAAAGCTGTACAGAATGTGTAGCGTTAGATATCAGTGTAGTATGTTAAGGGAATTTATCAAAAGACTTTGAAGTGCAGTGGAATTGTTCAGAAGGGAGGTATAGAGTATGTCATAGCTAGGTGGAATAACACAGAGAGCCCCAGTGGACGTGGGATATATAGTCAGGATGTGTTTTGGCAGTCACAAGTATTTGTATGCCTGGAGTTGTTTTTTTTTTTTTTTTGTCAGAACCAGGTATTGAACTTGGGCCCATGCACTTGCTCTGCTGAGGGAAGCACTTACTTTACTGAGCCATCTCCCCAGCCCCTTGGAGTTTTGGATTGGGTATCATAGATGATGAAGCAGGTGCAGAGGGGGCCTTTGAAGAAAATCTGTGGAATGAATTGCAGTTCAGAAGTTAGAAGGATCTCTGTGGTAACCTTGTGCAAGATGTAATGGTTGAGATTGAACACAGAGCAATGGGTTGGAAGGTGTGGTCCTCATCCAGGGGAGGAATGCTGAGGGACTGAGTCAAGGCATTGATAATGAGAATGAAGAAAAAGATAGTATGACAATATTTGGGAGTTGTCTTAGTGGGCTTACTGACCAGTAGGATGAGTTTGTCAAGGATGATATGTCAGGACAGACAGGGTTTAAAAGACAACCTGAACTCTAGTTTAGCAGGGTATTTCTTAGAATAAGATTGTAGGGTTGGGTTCCCTACTCATTGGGGTGCTCTGGGATAAAGGTGACAGGTTATTGGCTGTATCTCTTGGAACTTGCTGGTTGTTGTGGCAGAGGAAAAGAGCCAAGCTCTGGCTTTGAAAATGTCCACATAAAAAAAAAAGAAAAGAAAAAGAAAAGTTCCACATAATGGATGTACTTTAGTTGTGCTCCCATTTAATTGATTAAAGTAAGTTAGTGGCCACACCTAAATTGAAGGAACAGAAATGTGCGATTTTTACCATATATCCAGGAGCAGCTTTGAAAATGTTTGGTTATCATCACTGGGAGCTGTCACACAAGTGACCCAAATTTCAGACTTGGGGAATGTGATGGTATTTGTAACTGTGATGTAAAGTACTTAGGGCAGTGTTGGCAGCAAAGGAAGATGTTAAGTGTATTTTGAAATTAATGAGTTAGGGGTATGTTCAGTTCCCAGTTCCACAAAATGAATCTGCCTAACAAATTAGGGGTACATAACAGTGTAATATTAATATGTGGCAGGTCATTGGTTCTGGGAATGTAGAGCTCAGGAGAGGCCTGATTAGAGATTTGGTAATATAAAGGTGCTGGTTCAAGTTGCTAAAAACAGGGTTGAGGAAATAAGTCAGGTAGAGCACTTGACATAGCAAACTTAGAAACCCTGCATTCATACCCAACAACTAAAAGCAGCAGCTGAAAGCACTAGTCACTGTAGTCTTAGAAACACTCAAATACGAAATTAAAATTAAGTTGTATAGTCATTTAAGACATTATTGACATCTGCTTGTAATCCCAGCACTCAGGAGGCTAAAGCAGGAGGGTCACCAGAAGTTTGAGGCCAGCATAGGCTACATAGTGAATTAATTCAAGGCCAGCCCGGACAACTTAGGGAGATCTGTTTCTGAAACAAACTGTTATGAAGTCTGGTCATCCAGTTCTAAATCTTACAGGGCCTTAATCTTTCAGGTAATCAAAAATGTAACTAGCTGTAGTGGTGCAGGCCTATAATCCTAGCACTTGAGAGGCAGAGATAGGATTATGGAGAGTCTGAGGCAAGCCAAGAGCTACATAGTGAGTTCAAGGCAAGGCTAAATTACATAGTGAGACCGTGTTTTGAAAAACAAACAAGATCAAGAATTTAGAAAAATGTTTCGGGTGCATCTCAGTAGTATAGTGAGCACCTCACACACGTAAAGGCACTGGGTTCAAATCCTCAGCACACATATAGAACTATTACGAATTATTTATGCAGTTGGCCAAACTATAGTAAAAATATTTGGATTCAAAATGTGAAGCGCACGCGCGCACACACACACACACACACATTAATAATAAGTAAACATAGTTAAGATTGCAGAAACAAAATAGCTCTTCTACCCTTTTTCCCTTTTTTCCCTCTATACCGGGGATCAAACTCAGGACCTTGTGCTTGCCAGGCAGGAACTTATGCTGCTGAGCTATCTCCCTAGCCCTCCTCCCCTTTTTCTTTCTTTCTTTCTTTTTCTTTTTCTTTTTCTTTTTCTTTTTCTTTTTCTTTTTCTTTTTCTTTTTCTTTTTTCTTTTCTTTTGTATCGGGAATCAAACTTAGCTGCTCTAAGGCTGTTGAATTCAGATTTCATAGCTGACCTACCAGAACTCTCCCTTGCCCATCTAAGTTAGAGCATTGCATGAATTATCACAGAGGTAAATGTGTCTCCATTCATACTTAAATGCTGGAAAATCAACATGTAGAGAGAATTGGAATGGTTACAGAATGTGAAGTTTGAAGGCAGAGAAGCTTTTCTACAAGGATTTTGTCTATTTATGGGATTTACAGTCTGAATGTCTTTGGGTTATATCAGATGTTTTCCCAGTTGGCTGAGATTAAGGATTGAGTTAATTTGTTTCAAATTTTACGTATAAAGCTATAGGCCTGCCTCTTGTCAGATTAATCTCCACTGAAGGACTTGATTTTTTTTTTTGGTGGTACCAGGGATCGAACTCAAGACCTTGCGCTTGCCAGGCAAGCACTTACTCCATTGAGCTCTCCCCAGCCCCTCCACTGAATGACTTGAATTCTGCCATTTTACATTTAAATAAACCCTAGTAACAAAAATTTTCAAGTCTTGATTTATATAAAGATACGAAAAAGAAATTTTAAATGAAAATGGGAAGATAAAGCAAACATTTAATGAATTGTTTTTCTTTTTATCTTGCAGCAATACACCTCTTGCTTTTTCCTCCAAAGTATGTTATGTTAAGTTTCGTGACCCATCAAGTGTTGGTGTGGCCCAGCATCTAACTAACACGGTTTTTATTGACAGAGCTCTGATAGTTGTTCCCTGTGCAGAAGGTTGGTATCTCATTTTTTTTCTATTGTTTTAATCTCTGTCCTGTCTATTACTATAGCCTTTTGTCCTAGAAATCAGGAAATAGGTGGTAATCTGGGGTGCGTGTGTGTTTGAACGCATGGGTTTATGTATGTATATATGTGTGAGAGTGTGCACAAGAGTGAAATGGGCAAGAATTTTTACTTAACAGTAAATTTTATTAAAGTGATTGTGTATATTTGAGATTTTATAATGTAGCATTTAAAAAATTCATATAATAATTGGCTTCTCTAATTTCTTTTGGCTTTCTATAGTCAATTTTCAGATTCTGAAGAGAGCTTTATGAAATTACAAAAATAGTTTTAAGTTGGTATCGGTAATTATTTTAAATAAGTAAATATTTACCCTATTAACAATATTAATATTACAAATAAAAACAATATATATGTTTTGCTGAATTTCTGGATTATTTATGTTTATAAGAAAAATATTCATAATTTATACTTTCAAGTACCCCTTTAAGGTAATTTACCTTGTTACCATGAGACTATTCTTCTGTGCTCAGTGTACTTGTTTGCAGTGCAACAGGAATTTTTTTCCATTGGCCTGTTTGGAAGGTAATTAAAAAATGGAAAACAATTTTTTAAATCTTTCATCAAAACAATAATGTTGAAGATAGGAACAGGGCATAGGCCTAACAATTATTTGCTAAATTTTGTGCTTTAAACTGCTTTAAGAGCTAATTATTACTAATTACTTTTTAGTAACTTCTTTTTACCCAGCTACTCACATAATAATTTTGACAGTTCTAGTGTGTAATTAATTTTCAGTTAGAGCACTATGGCATGTGTACATGAATTTTAGAATTGAGTTATGGCACATTGACGTGTCCTTACAAGTATTTTTCTGTGAATCATAGTAGTTAATTTTACAATATAAAAGTTCACCAGAAATAATTGGGGTTTTTATATATTATTTTTAACTAAGACCTTTTGTAGTGACCACTATAACATTAAAAAAAAAATGTATAATCAGCTTGCCCCACTTGCAGGGTTTTATGCTTATTTCAAAATGCCTTTTCTGAGATGTCACAAGACTAGAACCTTCGGGATTTTTTAAAATAAATTTGAAAGTATTTTTCCCATGTTTTGGGTTAGAATGGGTACAGAAAGTAAAAATGGGTTTAAGTTAATTATTTGTTAATATGTAACAAGTATTTATCTTTATCTGATGTTCTGTTAAGAGTACAGAGAGCCCAGTATTTGAGAATGAGCTGGGAAAGAAGCTGGTTAATGATTTAATTTTATATACTTTATCCTGAAATTTTAATAAAAATTCAGGAAAAAAAACCAAATAGAAGGTATTATCTCTGACTGGCATATTGCATCAGATAATCCACCAACAGCACAGGATCTTAATGTCAGATCGTTAGAATTGTAAGGAAAAATTTTTTGTCAGTATTGCTTTGTTGGAACCTTGCTGTGTTCCCATAAAATCTTTCGTACAGTAGAGAAGCCCTATTGTGTGTCATAAATGTTCACAGTTTTTGACATGTGGAGGTTCTTTTTATTGTTTACTTGATAGAGATGACAGATGCACAGTTAATAGGTTTTAAATATTTTTGATATTTTGATACAAAGTTTTAGTTTTGAACACAAATACTTAGGCATGCTTTTATTGCAGTAAAAGTAAGTATTTCAGAACACTGGCGTTAGAAGAACTTAATATTGGGCCGGGGAGATGGCTCAGTAGAATAATTGCTTCCCGGGTAAGTGCAAGGGCCTGAGTTCAATCCCAGGTTTTGCAAAAAAAAAAAAAAGAAGAAACATTGCTAATAAATAGCATTAGAAATAATTGGTCTTAGAAAATTTCTAGAAAAAATTCAGATGCTTTTTTAAATACAATAATGATGAATTTGTGGAAATGGAAGAATTTCATAGTGGAAGTCTGATTATGCAGTGCCAACGAGGAAATAAGGCATTCTTGTACTAAAAAAAATAGCAGAGCAGATTTGAAGTAAACCCAAGAAAAGTGTTCTGGTGGAGGAGTTCTGTAAGAGGAGATGTGCTGTGGTGTCACGGGCAGTCCGTAGTAGTCTTCACGGACTGCATTCTTTGCTTGATAGCTTAGAAACAGTGAAAGGACATAAATGAGAAAGACTATAGAAAAAATTGTCAGAAAAGCATTTTAGTGTTTTTCAGTTTGCTTTTTTAAGTTCAGACAGTGACAGGAGATCCTAAGCTGTGTAAGTAATGTTTGATGTGTAACAGATTTGTACATATTAAGCATTAACTATTGTTCATAAAACATGCCATTGCAAAATAAAATATACTTGCATTATACTTGTGTAAATATGACCTCTTTTGTTGTTGCGTGCATTTCAAATTTCTTTTTATAAATGTTAACACTTAGAAAGTTAAGGTCAAGCGTAACAAAAGGTGTCAGCCTAATCATCAGTCATAAATTTATGTCCACATTTTCTGGTAGATGGATTTTGACTATTAATTTGGTTTTGTATGTTTTCTCTATGTGATATTTGTGCATTATTAGATGACTAGACTGGCCAAGGCAGACCTGTTACACTTGCCTGAGTTAGGCATTGTTTGCCATGCCACTAAACCTGCCGTCAAGTGAAACCTTCATTGGGGAAATGAGATCGGATCTGAACCGCAGAAGATGGACGCCCTGTCTCTGTTTTTTATTGTTTTGCTTTGATTTCATTTCTTTTTCTTTATTTTGTCCCTTTGTTTTTGTTTTTGTTTTTGTTTTGTTAAATCTCTTTCAGTTTAACTTGTGAGCTGGTTTTCCAGTTCTTTGTAAATGGTATTCCATTAAGGTTCATAATGTGTTGCAAATTATATCAGGAGATCAACCTTAAGACAAATTTTCATGCAGTAAGTTAGAAGAATATGGTGCTTTGAAGCTTAGTGGGTCTTAATGAGTACTTACAGATTGATCAGGTACATTTTGTTCTTGAAACATTAAAACAGGAATCCTCAGAACACTTTCTAGTCTTAGTGCAATGTTTTTGTAGATTTTTTTTTTTCCAAGTTTACATCTCTCATGAAAACCAACTCCTGGCTTCTAATTTTTGTCCTTCCCCCTAGAATTCTAGGCATACAAGGTCAAGAAGGAAAATAAGTGAATTTCTTACAATTATCTGGAGGGTCTTTTATTTCTATGTAGTTATTATAGAACTTACTTGTTTTAAGACTTTGTTGCCTATGTTGGGATTGGATGTTTGAGATGCTGTGAAATATTTGCATATATATTTTTCTGTTTGAGTTTTTTAGGTTGAAAATTGTTCAGATACTACTAGCTTATAAATGGCCCGAGAGGTTATACTTTAATAACATGAGAGATGTTTTTCTTCTCAGTTTTTGAAGAGTACAGCTTGGGAAAAATGCTAAATGATTGTTTTATACTTTTATAAATCTGATAGTATTTAGATAATAAAACTGAATTTTTATTTTTTAATATTTTCTTCAATAGAATGAGACAAAAATATTAGTGTTACTGACAGAATTACAAATTTATAGTAGTAAACTATCATGAAAGACAGTGAGAATCTGACAACCTATTATTTGACCCAAAAGAAGACTTTCATAATACTGAGTAATCAACCTGTAGCCCATGTTAAAAACCCATTTCAGGGGCCGGGGAGATGGCTCAGTGGAATGAGTGCTTCCTTGGGAAGCGTAAGTGCTTGAGTTCAATCCCCAGTTCCGCCAAAAAACCCATTTTATTGTAGTCTTTCTACACTGTCTTTATGAATAGTTTTATTTATTATTGGCAAGTAATATTAAATTTGGCACATCTCTATTAGGTTAGCACTCATGTTTCTTTAGGTGTATAAATTAGTGTATTGAAGCATAGGGGTTTTACCTTAGGTCCCTGTTTGGTTTATGAAGTTCTACAGATCTCTTTGAAAAATAATACCTGTTTATAATAGATGAAATGAATGTGATAGCATTATAAATAATGTATATATTTGAGTATAAATACATGATGATACTAGTAACATACATATAAAATAGATTATTGTTATTCAGTGTTTTCAGTTAGGTCAACCTACTTTTTGTTTGTGCATGTTAAGAAATCTGTTCTCCAGAGTTTAGAGCAAAATAAATTTAGTTTTGAAAGTAGTTAAAATGATGGAAGCTTAGATGATGTAAAGTTAAAAAAATAGGCATTTGCCAAAACTAATGTAATGTTTATTGTTTCTATAGATAAGGCATAACCATTTAAAACAAGTTTTGAATTTTTATCCATGTTTAGAGATATTCAGATAATATTGTTTAGAGGTTTATCTCTGCACATCTGGTTGTTTTAAGTAGGACTTTTAACTACTGAAACCAGGCCTGGTGCTTTTGAAAATTTTAATACACATATTTTAGCTTAGTGTGATTTTGTACATTGTGTTAAAACACTTTTGACAGGTTTGTAATGGAAATGTGTAACCAACTAGTGAATGAGTATACCTGCAGCTTTTCAAGACAATTATTTTGGTAAAATAAGGAAAAATTCAGAA